GAGCCGGCTGCCTGGCTGGCCATGCCCTGTCGCTCCCCGCACAGGCAGCTTGTCTCTCCTTGCAGGAGGAGGAGGAGGAGGACATCGATAACCTGGTGGAGATCCATCGCCAGAGAGTGGCCCGGGGCAGCATGCGCAGGGGTACCTCCTCGGTGAGTCCCCGCGGCGTGGCCGTGCTCTGCTCCACTGCAGGAAGAAACGATGGAGAAGGGCAGCACCGACAGCGGGGTGGGCAGCTCCTGGGGCACAAGTTTGGGGCGCAGGGGCTTCTTCCCCTTGAAGGGAATCGAAATGTGGAGTCCCAGCTGCAGGTGGGAGGCACTCAGCGGCCATCCCCAGGTGTGGAGGGGTGAGAGGGGCATGTGGAGGAGCTTTACTGAGGATGACGAGGGACCGTCGAGTGATGCCACCCCAGCTCAGCCCTGCCATGTCTTCCAGAGCACACTGGGGAGCATGGTCAGCATTTACAGCGAGGCCGGCGATTTCGGCAACGTCGTGGTCACCGGGGGAATCTCCTTCTCCCTGAGCTACGAGCAGAAGACACAGACCTTGTTCATTCACGTGAAGGAGTGTCGCCAGCTGGCCTACGGGGACGAGAGCAGGAAGCGCTCCAACCCGTGAGAGCCGGGGGGGGTGGTGGCTGGTGGCATTGCTGGTGGTGCTCACAGGGTTGGGGGGTGCCCACCTGAGATGGGAGCTGTAAGGGAGGGGGTCTTGGTGAGGCAGGAGGTTTGGGGCTGTCCTGGGGGACTCAGAGGGTGGGGGCTAGTTGTAGAGAGGATTCTGGTGAAATGCTGTCCGTTCCTCCCATCAGGTATGTGAAGACCTACCTGCTGCCGGACAAATCCCGGCAAGGGAAACGCAAGACGACCATCAAACGCAACACCATCAACCCCCTGTACAATGAGCTGCTGAAGGTAAGCGGGGACAGGCTGGGGTGCAGCCCGCTCCTCGCTGTGGGGCCGGGCAGGCACTTGGCCCTGGGGATGCTGCTGGGACAAACCAGGGCAGGGATGGGCTCCAAGCCCTGAGGCGGGGACTCTGCGGAGGCCCCGTGTCCAGACATTGGCTCCTGCAAGCTGGAAAAACCCCCTCCCAGGCTGGGTCACTGCTCTGATGGGGCTGTGGTGTCCAGCCCCAGGTGCCATGGTGGGGTCCACAGCTGCATATGTGAACGTGTGTCAGAGCCCGTGTTCCTGGCTCCCGTGGCATCTCCCAGGGCAGGAGCCTTCTGCTTAGCCTGGATGTTGCTTTTCATGGAGAAGGCTCCCAGGCCATTGCAGGCAGGTACACTGGCAGGAGGGCAGGTGGCACAGCTGCAGAGGCAGAGATAAGGCAGTTCTGCGCCCCAGGACAGAAGCACTTGGCACT